ACACAACATTGTTGAGCATTTGCACTTAATAATAATTGGTTGAGGTTTGAAGAAGATGAAATTCCTATTATGAGAAGATTAATTAATCTTTCATTTCTTGGAGTTTCTACATTATTTTCTATGGATAAAAAAAATTTGAATGAGAAGGTGTAAAAAGGGAATGAAATAGCTTTTGTCTAGGTTCCTATACATGATATCACTAATGAAGTCTAGAAAATCTCAAAAATAAATGGGCTTTTCACGATTGTGTTTTAGATTGTGGTGACTGAGCTTGAATGTGGACTTTTCTCTATAGACTAGGTGTTTCCTACAAAAGTTTCTTATTTGAACAAAGGACTCTCTGATGCATAAACCAATAAATGTAGGAGAGAATAATGTACAATAAAGAAAAATAATGCAAGAAGCAAGAAAAAAATGTGTTGGTTAAATGAACCGGTACTTAAATCTTAACTTGCCCAGCTTAGTTTAGCTTAAATGTTTTATATAGTGACTAGAGGTATTTATAAACCTTTGGTCATATTTGTGTGCATAAGGTGTGTGACTATTTAGAGCTAACAAAATAATTGAGATGTTTGTTAGGGATAATATTGGACAACTTGAGATTTTATTTGTCATTTTTAATTACATACCTATATATTAAATTTATTGGAAAAAAAATTCTATATGTTTAAGCTTTGCTTCACAGAACTAGAAATGTTTTATATAGGTATGGTAGATGGAACCTGAAACGTTGTTTTTTCCGATGAAGTTAGTATATAGGCTTGTAATATTAAAATCCTTAAATTTTAAACTTTGATTCTAAAATAAAACAAAACATCTACTTACAAAATATAATATTGACTACAAGTGATAACTAGTAAAATATGTAAACATATATTGTTTTAACACTAACAAATATTACAAACTAGATAAGTGACCTATGTTTCATCAAGTGCCGAGTTAATTTTTTTATGATGTTAAAAAATAATATTCAATCGCTTTTGGTGTGTTTCAAAGAAGGAGAAAAAAAAATCCATGAATTAACTAATAGACCCTACTGGGTCAAATGAGATGGTTTCATCTAATTATATGATAGAAAAACCAATGATAATAAATGGACTAGATTTTGAAAGGAAAACTGATAATAATAACTAAAAGAGAAAGAAAACTTGTCAAAAAGAAAAGAAAAAAAGCAGAATCCCAAGATAACTTAAGGGTAAATGATGAAGTTGGAAAAAAATAAAAAAATAAAGAAACTCATGTCAATTTGAGCTAGTATGATAAACTTGTAATTTAGATCACAAGGTCAAGCCATGTTAATCTAAGCTAGCACGACAAACTCGTAACTTGGATCATAAGGTCAAGCTAATCTCATAGAAAGTAAATTGAAAAAAAAAAAGTAATAATGGTTGATCCCTTACAATCTAAATATAAAATGATGAAAAAAAATAAAATCAATCAACTAAAAGAATCTTAAAAAAAATTAAACACCTACAAACCTGAGTAAAGGCCATTAAACCTTGTGAGTTTGATCATACAAACAAAATAACTTAATAGAAGATAAAACGGGAAAAACATAATGAAGTTCAATTTTAAAGATCAAAACTAAAAAAAAGATATGAAAAAAGCTACCCAAAAAAATATTTGAGTTAATCTGTCAAACATGTTATTTAAGTCTTGAGATTAGGATAACTTGATTAAGAGGAAATTGAAAAAAAATCATGAAGCCTTTTTGTTTTCTTTTCAAAATAAATAACGTTGAATGATGAAATAAAAAGATACTAAAAAAAACAAAGTTAACTCATGTTAACTTTTTTAACTTATGACTTAAGTTACTAAACTAGAAGCCTTTCATTTAGAAAAATCATAAAGTCCAATTTATAACAAATCAAATGCTGAATGATGAATTTTTTTTTAAAAAAAATCAAATATATAAAAGGATTCAAAATAAAAAAAATAGCAAATATGAGATTGAGGAGTAAATTTAAAATAAAAAAATGAGTGGACAACATAGAATTTTGAATTGAAAATGAAATCCAAATTCACAACATGATTTAAAATACAAAATAAAAATTAAAGGAATGAGGATTAGATATTTAAAAAAAAATAACAAATTACAATTATGAATTTTGACAAAAAGGCTTGAAACAACAATTAGAAAAAAAAGGATCAAAGTTGAAATATCAATAAATGAGAGGACAACTATTAAATTTTGAACTTAAATTTTGAATAATCATTATGAATTTTTTTTTAAAAAGAAAAGAGATAAAAAAATAAGAAGTTACTAATAATACACTGTCTATTAAATGATAACATGCACTATCTTAGATGGAAGAAGTACCACGATGCTTTCAATGTTATTATAGAAACTATTATATGTCACCTAATTTTAATTTTAAATTATATTTTATATTTATTAAAATATCAAATTATCTAATAATCAACTTAATAATAATTAAAAAACTAAGATAAAGAAATTCCTTAAACATTAGTTAAACACGTTTTGCTTTTATGAGTAATTTAATTGTTTTAGTATGCTTTTAAAATGCAAAAAAATTTACTTATTCACCATTAATATAATAATGACCCGTCAATTTTTTAAAAATATCATATTATCTTCGATAACCAATTCATCATTTTTTTAAATTAATAAATTGGTTGTTATACTATTCCAATATTCCATTGAAAAGTGAACCCTTTTAGATGGAGCATCGTTTTTCCACCCTAATTAGCTTTTGTTATTGGTAATATTAATATGAATAAAAAAACAAAACAAAGGTTAAACCTTTCAGTTTTTTTGAAACCAAATAAGGAATTGAATTCAACTTTATATATCATTTGAATTCTTTTGAGAACCTATTAATATATAAATTTTTATATTTGAAATAAAATACCAAACTAAAAAATTAAATTAAATTATACAATTTGGAATATCTGTAAAATTGCATTGAATTAACAATCTTGACTTTTTCTACATTTAAAAAATTATCTCAATTAATATATAAATGGATATAATTAGGATGAAATTGAACAAACAAATAAACTAAATAATGCCTACAAATTCTTACTAATAATTAATTAGTTTATATAATTTTAATTTATATTTTTTTTTCAGGTGCATTTATTTTCTTATTATACTACTCAACTTCAATTTGGCCTCAAAACAAAAAACATGGAGATATGGTTCCTCTCTCTCCCTCCCTCCCTCCCTCCATGTGTTTTTTAAAGCCTTCTTCAACCTCCTTCGAGTCCTTTAACCTTTCCTATTATTAGCAACATCTTATGACTCTCCAGATCCTTCGCCAATCTTGAGCCCACCCTTCGTTCCCTCACCTAAAATTTAGAGCCATGGTCACCCCCCAGATCTTTCCTCGCCAGGCTATCTTTATTCCCGATCACTCCCTAGCTTACCAAGCCTTGATCCTAGAAGATGTTGCTCTTGGTAATTGCCAACATGCATGTTCTTGCTACCAGTAGAGTGCTTACCAGCAATCAACTAATATCAATCAAACAAGTTTTGATTTTGTCTTGAGGAGTACCCTTTCCCAGACACATGAATGTACATGAAAAAAGAGAGAGTAATAATAAGCATTGATTGTAGGGCTTTAAGAGAAAATAAATAAAGGTATTTTTTAAATAATATATATATATATATATATATTCTTGAATTGATATGGCAAATCTAAGGGTCTATTATCTGATTTTCTTTAGCTTATTTTTATGATTTGAATTTCAAATGGAAATCAAATCAATATCATCAAAAGAATTCCAAATATAAATTGATTTAACTCATGAAATCAAATCCAATTCTAAAAGTCTCAAACAGCCTATTAAAAATATTTCTGAAATAATTTAAAAGATATTTTTTGATTTTTTTCTAATTTAAAATACTTGAATAATCTTGTGCTAAATGAAATTAAACCCCATCAATTGTTAATATGCTGACTGTTATGGTAGCAATTGTTTTTAAAAAATAATAATTATTATAATATTAAATGGGCTCTTAGTCCATCCAAACATGTTTTTTAATGGCATTGTTTTTATTTTTTAAAATAAAATTACAAATAAAAGTGTACTTTTAAATTAGTTTATATAGTAATTGAGGTTAAATCATTTTTTTAGACAATCTTAAAATAAAAAACTCTTACATTTACTTTATTAATTCAAAGAAAGTTAATTAATTCTCTTGGATGTTTAAGAAAACAAATCTTTTCAATCAAGGCAACTTCTCTGGGCTCCAAATGGTATTCAGTATACCAAATATTAGTAAAATTAGTAAAATAATTATACATTTTAGTTACGGAGTTTTGAACTGTTAGTTAAATAATTATGCATTTTGAACTATTCTTAATTATATCTTTAGGTTAAAACTTAAAAGTCATGGATTACTTTCTTTTGTTATCAAATTTCACATATTTTTTTAATAGTCCTTAATAAATCTAAAATCCCAATTCCGACTGTGATTTGAAAATTCATTATAGTTAGAGTTGGAGGTAATTATTTTTTATTTGTTTTGATTTTTATAAAAAATAATGAAATTAATTTTTTAAAAAAACTGAACCAAAATAGATTCAAACTGATCTATTTCAGTTCAATTTGGTTTTAAAAACAAAATTGATTCAAACTAGTTTAACTCGGTTTTTTCGAATTGACTTAGTTTTTTTGATTTGGGTTAGGTTCGGTTTTTTTTTTTATTTCAGGTTTAAAAATTAAAACTGAACCGAACCGATCTGTTTTTTTTTTTAAAAAAATTTAATTGGTTTAATTGGTTTTTTTTATCTTATATTTTTTTAATTTTTTTTTTAATTTTATCAGTTTAATTTATTTTTTAATTTTTTTTATTCATTTCTAATTACTATTGCCCTAATTTTTATAGGAAAAGAGAGAATGATAAATTTGTTCGGACGCTTTACCCAATTATGATCACAGTAAATTTCTTTTAAAAAAATATTATTTTAAATTAAAAAAAAAATCAACCGAACTCAACTCAAAGAAGTAAAAAAGAAAGAAGAAAACTTCAAATGTCTGAAATCCCACAACTCCACCTTTGGCCTTCTACGGTACCTCCAATTCAGTGTTGAACGCCGTACATCATTGTAAATAAACACAAAAATAGAAGAAAAACGGCGCAACGGAGAACAAACGTATACATAAATACAGCGTTGTCGAGCGAGAGGTGGGGCTTTTCTTTTCATTAGAAATCGAAACCCTGAATGAATTCATATTGCTTGCTGCGTTCTGCTTTCACTGCTGAAAAATCCGCTGGATTTATGATACTCTTTTGATTTAGACCTCAACTTCACCATGGTTAGTTAATTACCCTTTTTCCTTTTAATTATTGCCTAGTTAATGTGGAATCTTGAATGATGTGATGCCAGGATTTTCTTTGCAATTGTGAAGAAGTTTTAAACTTTCTAAACTGACCCTAATTTTCTCTTCTTTTTTAATGGCATTGGGTCGATTGCTTTCATCTTTTTTTTTTTTAATTCTTTTTTAATGTGGAGACTACCGTAGAAATTGCTTTTCTGGCCTCTTTTTATGACATTATTGAAGTGAAGTTATGCTTCTGTGTTTGCTGCCTGCAAAACCGTTTTGTGTGTAGTATAATATGTTTTTGACGAATTCTTCCTTGCATATACACATTACAATGAAAATTTTATTATTATTTTTTCGTTGAGGAATTGGGAACTTTAATGGAAATTTAAAACTTTGGAACTCAGTGAAATTACTGCAATTGCTACTAGCCCTTCTCGTTTCAATGATTTCTATGAAATATCCCTTCAATTGAAGGAAAAATGAGTTTACTTTGTTTTGCTAATTATGTCTCTGCTAACCTAAAAAAATAAAAAATAAAAATGATTGACTGCATCATTCATTGATGCTTGACTTTTGATATAGCAGGGCAGCAAGCTGCCAAAAGCAAGCAAAACGATCTGTAGGTTCACGCGTTGAAACTTTTATGGACAATTTTTTTTTTTGTTTGTTTCTTGAGCTTCTATGAAACCTGTTTTCCAAAATATCTGTGGCAGCCCAATTATGACAAGGGTTGATAGTATGTTTCGCCTTAGGTGTGACAATCAAACAATGAAATGCTGAATAGGAGGATGTCTTGCATGCACATCGTGTGTTGCTTCCTAGCTGTTCTTCTGGTTCATCATAATTAAATCTCAAACTTATTTGAATCTCTCGTTTTAACTGCTTAGCAGTAGGCTAGGACTAATCCCTAGGAGAGAAGATACTGGTAGTCTTGCTTTCTGCAGTCATGAAACGAGGAATGGGTTTATGATTCCCATGCACATCAAATGACTTGCTTCTAGTTTCTAACATGCTTTTGATTAAATTCTTTTTGTCTTCCTGATGTTTAGTAGCACTATTGTTAGTTTTTCAGGCTTTGTGCCCTTAAACTTTTTTGTGGTATAAATATTCCATATCCAGAGAAGGAAAAACATATGCATTAACACCATGCATTTGGTGTTGCAGGTAACTATTTGTCAGAAGTGCGGTGATAGAGGATTTGATGCGGCTTTGATTTATTGTGATGAGTGTGAGACTTACGCTGTGCATTGGTGAGTATAGCTGTTGTCCGTTTGATTGCAATCTGTTATACTACTAATGCTAGCTAATTTGGTTTCACATCAACATGAAGAAAATGTGTAATTTTTTTGGGATACCTCCATTATATACAATAACATGCCAGCTCAGTTGGCACTTTAGTGGTGGACTGCCATCCCTCTTGGAGTATAATTCTATGCATATGCTGGATGGACTTGCGATAAATGCTACATCAAACTTTAAGCTTGTAATTTTTGTAATGGGATAAAACATTGTTTTGTGGTTGCTGAATTTTCTTGCTTTGATTTACTAGATTGAATTGGCTAGTCAGTAGTTTACCTTTCATTGATGAAAAGAGAAGTTTCAGATTCTGATTTTTGTACTTTCCTTTTGTTTTTCAGTTATTGCTTAGATGTATTGCCAGCAACTTTTGATGAATATGTCGTCTGGTTATGTTATCACTGTGAATCAAGGGCTGTAAAATTATCCTCTCTTGACAGACCTAACTCTCCTATAAGCACAGAAAGTGACTCTGACAGTTTAAAAATTATCCAACTGAAGAAGAAAAATCCTTTAAAAAGACTGGAAGGGAAGTCTAAGGAAATGGTTTTTGATTGCTCATTGACTAACTCTGACTTGCTGAGACCTCAAATTAGCTCTGACTTCCAACTTGTTGAGGTGGACTGCTGTGAGGATGATGGAAAAGATCAGAAACTTGGAAGTCAAAATGGGTTGCATGAGGACAGTGTTCCTGAAGTTGCTGAATATCTTGAAGGTAAAAATCCTATATCTCCTCTACCTGACCTTCAACTTGTTGATGTTGATTGCTCTCAGAATGATGAGAAAGATCAGAAGCTTGGAGGAAAAAACAGTTTGGAGGAGTCTACATTCCAAGAGACAGAACCTCTTGGAAACAAAAACTCTCAATTGGTTGTATGTGATGGTCAGCCCCTTCAGATACATTGCTGTGAGGATGGGGGGGAAGGTCAGAAGGTTGGGAGACAGAATGACTTGAATGAAGGCAACTTTGTTGAAGAAGATGAATTGGATAAAACTAAAAACTGTCACTTTGATGCTCATTTTGCTGAGCAGAGTTGTTCTATTCATGTGCTACCGATAAGAGATCCAATTTGGAGGTCAGTTTTTAATTATTTTATTCCATATTCTCACACAAGTTTTTGATGAATTATTATGTGATATAAAAGAAATAAAAAAGTTCAATTTGATTGTTTGGTTAACAGGGGAAGCATGAGCATTTTCCAAAATAATTATGGTGCTCCTGGCGGAATTGTTGCTCATTTGTCTAGCATTGCATGCTCCAGAGCGAGTGAGGAGGCAAAAGCATTATCTGGATTGCTTTCACCAGAATTGCTTCCCAGATCTGGGGTATGGCCTAAAAGTTTCCGGAAGTTGGGGCCAGCAGCTGATCATATAGGTCTCTATTTTTTCCCGGACAATGAAAGGTGTCAGTTTAAACAATTTTGCACTAGATTTCTTTTTGTTTTTGTTTTCATGTTTTGGCTACTCATAAGGATTTCTTTTCTTCTCTTCCAGGAATGAAATTGTTTTTGATAGCCTAGTAAACGACATGATCAGCCAGGACCTTGCCATGAGAGTTGTTATTGAAAATGCAGAGCTCTTAATTTACACTTCTAGGATACTGCCCATGGATTGCTGGAGTGAGGCTCTCAAATCTTTTACCTGTGGAAAAGCTTTATTTTTTCTTCTCTTTCTTTTTTCCCCCAAACCATCGGTTTAATCTTTCCTTTTCTAAACTGACTTGCAGGATTCCAGTCAAAGTTTTATCTGTGGGGAGTGTTCAGGCCAAAGAAGCCTTCGGCTTTGGCACCTGATGTTGTGCCTGGAGAGCAACAAGGCCTCACAAAGGCCACAACCTGGGAAAGACGGAGTCCTGTTAGTCCTTTAAGCAATGACAGTTATGGTTCTGGCTTGGTGTGTCCATCGCAAGATTCTTAATCAGAATTTATACATTGATTCCTTTACGGTTCCTTTCTTATTGGCCGAAAGAAAGTAGATATTTAGGACATGTTTGTTCCAAGATACTCATTTCCTGAAAATTGTTTTTTAAATTTTTTCATGTTTATTTACCATTAAAAAAATTAATCAATAGAAAAAAAAATACTTTTCAGTTAACGAAAAATATTTTCTGATCCACAGAAAATACTTTTCAGTTAAACAAAAATTTAGCTTAATTTTTAGAAAAATATTTTTTTTTTCGCTGTGTTTGTTTTCCGGAAAGTGGTTACTGAGAAATTACTTTCCAAACTTTTTTGTGTTTGTTTATAATTAGAAACAAAAAATACTTTCCAGTTAAAGAAAAATTTAGCTTAATTTTCAGGAAAGTATTTTTTTGGAAAATTTGAGTGGAAAACACTTTACAGAAGCTGTAAAAAAATTAGAAATATCATTATTTATTAATTATATCAAATTTGATATTTAAACTTTTAATTATTATATATATTTTGTTTTGAATATTTATTTTTTAATTTCATCTCTTAAAATTTATTTTTTATATTAACTTCGATTTTTATTTTTATAATTGCGAATTGTTTTTTTTATTTTTTTATTGAAAGTTTTTATTTATTAAATTTGGTCATTATTTTATTTATTGTTATTTATTTTATTTGAAATAATTCATGAAATGTTGATTATCATTATTTTAATTTTTTTCTTTTTATTTTTTTATATTTGATCTTTTTTTTTTGATTATTATTTA